TACCTGGACTTTAGTAAAGCCTTTGACAGGAACACAGTAAAGCTGTGGAACAGGCTGCCCAGGGAGGTGGTGGAGTCACCATCTCTGGAAGTGTTCAAAAAACATGTGGATGTGGCGCTTCAGGACATGGTTTAGGGGACATGGTGGCGCTGGATTAATGGTTGGACTTGATGATCTTGAAGGTCCTTTCCAACCTAGTGATTCTGTGATTCTGTGAATAGTGAAATTACTTTTAGATGAATGGTTTCCATCAAAAGGGATGATAGTTTAGGTCTCCACTTTGTTATTAGTGTTTTGTAATTTATGTTTATTTATAATGAAACAAAGGTATTACTAAAATACATCTTTTATAAATTTTGGTACATTTAACAAACATATCCAAAACTTGATAACCCATCTGGTTTATTGATTATTTATCAGGTTTTGACTACTCTCCCTGCCTTTAATTAGCCTATTTTTTAATAATATCATTTGATGTGTTTTGGTAGACATCCTATGCTCAGCTTCTAGCAGCAACGTGCCTGTCGAAGCTTGTAAGCAGGGCATCTCCACTACCTATCGAACAAAGGATTGACATTCGTAAGTAACGTTTGTGGTTAAAATTTTGTTATATTAGTTGGATCTCAAACACTGTTAGCACAGTAACCATTCAGTGGATAGTCTGTTTTTTCTCTAGCTCTCTCCATTTACCAAGCCTGTTGTTCATAAGGTAGTCATTGTGAGTGTGAACATCAAGGTGATTGTGAGATCTTTCATCATTTGTCTGCAATTAGCTCATAAATAACATTTCCTAGTTTCAAAATTAAAATAAATATGTTAGCTCAGATTACTTCATATTTTAGAAAAATACTAATTTTTTCAAGATAGACTTTGTATTTATCCCACAAGACGCTAAAGAGATTTAGTTCATGTTTGTAAAGGATGAAAGTTGCAGATACTGCTAGTACACCCGCCAGTCACTTACATGCAACGTTGCTCATGATCAGCTCTTAACATTTGTAAAAGTCATGCCAGGGCAGGTTCTTACTTGCAAGATTAAGAGCCTACAACTTTTTCCTCACTTTTTAGGATCTATGTTAAAGTCATTGCTATATCCTAAAAGAGTAAGCAAGTATGCGTTAGATCATTACTAGTGAAAGGCTTTGCACGAGGAGTGTATGATTCGATTTGTTTTTTTAGAAAACCTGCACTGTTCTATCAGTTCTGCGGATAGCAGTACTCTGAAATGCGTGGCAGAGAATCTGCTGTTTCTGATAAAAGATTTCAGTGTTCTTTTAGGTAAAAATTAACTTAATCAACTTTGATTTTATACATTTCAACGGCTTTTGAAACAGGTTAACTTTCTTCTAGAGAGGAATTTCTGCAGCTGCAATGTGCATTACTCAAAGGGATGCTCTAGGTTGAATTGAGAACAGTCAGTAGGGACTCTAGTCTGAAAAAACTTTTTTTTGGTTGTTTTTTGAGTTGACTCTGAGAGCTGCTGTTACACAGTGAAATAATCAGTGCTCAGTATATGGGACCATAATGAAAAATTACTCTGTTCTACTTGCCAGCGTTCTCTGAATTCACAAACTGTTGTCATATGTGTCCTAGAATAATGATCTATGTTTTTTACAATGATTTGTGTTACTAAATGTTTAGCTGCATTTAATGATTTAATGTAACTTACAGTTTTTGTACTAACCATAAGAATATAGAGTTTTTTTAAAAAAAACCCATGCCTTAAGTTTCTATTAGAGCCATTTAATTAATTTTCTTTGCAGAAGACTTGTGTTGCTGATTTTAAAATGCTTCTTTACAGGAAATTACATTCTGAACTACGTAGCATCTCAACCCAAACTGGCTCCTTTTGTCATCCAAGCTCTTGTGCAAGTCATTGCTAAAATTACAAAATTAGGATGGTTTGAGGTACTGAAAGATCAGCTCATCTTCAGAGACATTATTGCTGATGTAAAAAAATTTTTGCAGGTAGGAACCAGTCGTTCACTTTGCCATTTTTTTCTGTTTAGACCTCTTCATTTTTAGTGATTGGCATGTTATATCACTTAGTTGTTACACATTTGGGTGGAAAAAGTGTCAAGAGCATTGCTTAAAACGGCAGATCGCCCTATGATGAAGAACCAGGGCGGGTTTGATACTTGTTGTGGGTTTTGATGCCTGACAGTATTCATAGTGCTGTCATGTTTTTTTGTTGTTTTTTTCAAAGCACTTTTTCAGAGTGTGGCTGTAAAACATCAGTCCCTGTTGTCAAACCATTCTATTTAATGCCTTGATTTTTTTCAGCTGATGTGGAGATACATTTCTGATAGTGTTAGCTCCAGTTACCTGGTTAGAAACACTGGTATTGCACCATCTGAAGAGTAAGACTGTCAAATGTGTTAAAGCATGAGTCTGATTGTGATTCTTGTAATAACGACTGCTAAAATTGTGCCAAACCGTCAGTTCTAGAATGTATTTTTGCAAGTGCCTGTCACAGGGGGTTGACCAAAAAGATACCTTTATGAACTATTTGTTGGAATGTTCACTGTTACGGTCTTACATTGTTGCTTTTCTGTATAAGCAGTGGGACTTTACCTGCACTTTAATTTTTAGCAGAAGTAACTAGCTACCCCTTCTTCTGAAGTTACTTAGGAAAGCTTGTTAAAGATAGAACTGTGGTAGACGAAACTGCAAGACGCTGTGTATATCTGTTACGTGGCTGTGGTCCTTGTTTGCCCTGTTCCTTTTTCATGTTATGAGAAATTGATGATTCATACGTGTGTGCACGGGTACTTAGATACCTGCATATATGTATGTTCTCTCTCCATGAATGTAAAGAGGAGTGAAAGGAAGAAAGAAAAAAAACCCCAGACATTCTATCTCTCCTAGGATTATGGTGTGCAATATAGGGAGATAAGATCATAAATTTGGAGTGTTTTTACCTATTTTAGCATAGGTATTTAAGTCTAACATATCACAAAAATTATGCATTCTAGGTAGGAATATGGGGAAGTTTGGGATGAAAGATCACTTATCTTCCCTCTCCAGTAATTGGATGAGGCAGGAATGTTTTTGTTTTACATTTCCTTCCACATTATTTCCTGTTCCCCCATTGTATTGGTCACTGTTACAAAGAAGGTGTGCTACAGGATAGAGAGGCGATCTTGGTACCTAGCATTTGAAAATTGGAAATAATTTCTCCTAACATCAGAGAGCAGTCATTCACTATGGAACATTCACTAGGCAAATTTACATGTTGACTCTAGAGCAAGTACTGCCAGACACAGTGGCTAAAGATGCGGATATACAGCATCTTCTGTGAAGTAAGTTTGGGGAAAGTGATTGGATTAGCCAGGCTTGGTTATTTCATATGTTTAGCATGTATTAAAAAAGTTCTTAAGTTTTCTGGGAGATGGCTAATCTGCTTACGAAGTGAATATTAGATTAATCTTTCTGAGTTTGTGTGAATATAAAGCCTAGTACTTATTTTGAGAAAAAAAAATCAGAAAATTTAAGCTATTTAGAGATTTACGTCCAAAATGATCCATTATGTGTGTATGTGTTGGTGATCCTGGCAACTCAACAAGAAAATATGAAGTTAACAGTTTATGTTTCTTGGCAATGAGTTTCTCGTTTGTTTTTCAGTCTTGCTTTGTTTATAATACTGTTCAAGTTAATGTACTTTCTGAGTTACATTGGGAATGTCTAATAAAAGATAAGTTGTAATATTCTGTTTATTAAAAACAAACTCAAGTATACTTCTCCACCATTTTGCAGTTACTTTTATGAATGTACTGTAATTGGATTTTGCATTTATTATTAAAATGATTGCAGTGTGACTCTTCAGTGTGTAGCTCATTAAAAATAGAGATTTAAATACAAAATTTAGCTTCTTAAGAGATTTCTTTAGTTAAATTAAGAATTCCTGTAGAAAAGAAAATTAAGCCATAGATCTACTAGTGAATTAAATTTTAGATAAAAATTGAAAAAATAATCCCTAAACAATACTAATGTATGTTAATAATTAGCATATGGTAATTTCAAGTACATACGCATTAGCATTCCAGATTGAAGTTCATCCAGTGTGAGTCTGAGTGTGATTTAATGTAGAAAAAGGGATTAGAAGCTAGGTCTGCAGTTCTGTTCCAAACTCCTTCATAATTCACCACACAGCTTTTCACACCTGTGAAAAAAGGGAGGTTGCATTTTCTATTCTGCAGGTTTGTGTGATCTAAGGAACATTCATGTAGACTATTTTAAGAATTTGAAATGTAAAAGGAAGTTGTGTTCAAATTACAGTATAAGGTGTTTAATCTTACTGAATGCAGATAGGGCAACAATATAAATTTTGTCTGAGAGTTCTCTGAAATTTTCACTTTTGATTTGCTTTGGTGCAAGTGGTAATACAAACTAGATGACAGGGGAAAGTTAGGTCCTTGGTAAGTAGACAGATTCTTCATTAGCTGAACTTTGGGTGATCTTCAGAGTTGTGAAAATGAGTGTGGTTGTGACAAATATCAGTAAAATTTTGACAAGCATGACAATGCTTTTTGGGCACCAGGGAAGCTGAGGCTGCAGACTGCAGCTGTGAAAGTAAACATAGAGTTCTCCCCGACTCAAGATCAACTGCAATTAGGCCTCACCATTAATTGTTTTTAACAAAGCAGATTTAATTTTTCTATAAATGCATTGAAGTAGCTCAGTGAAGACAGCTAAATTTTATTAATGCGAAATTCTGCATTGTATCTGAATTTTGAAACATTCCAAGGAACTTAAATACTGATGATCACATCACACCCTCAGATGCAAATATTTGGCACCTACTGCCTCACTTCTTAGACACAAGTTCTCAGAGATCAGATCATTCAATTCAAACCAAAGCCTTGTATACTACTGTGGAGGGAAAAGAATTAGGGGGTTTTGATAGGTAGCATTTCAAAACTTTTTTTTTTCATGGTTTGAATTTCATGCAGCTTGCCTTATCAGTTCTAGAATACTGAACAGACCTTTAAGAAATGTGTAATACTGAATTTCTAGATTGTGGTTACTTGAAGTCTATTTTCAGACAGGTTTTTGTTACCATACAGTTCTTAAAATTTATGATGGGTTTTTTTTCCAGAGCTAATTGGGGAGTTTGAATGTCTAGTTCTATTAATGTTAATAGAATTTGGCATGAAAGCCTTCTAAACAGCATAGGATATCTCAGCCTAAAAATTCCTCTTGATTCTAGAAATGTTGGAGAATATTAAACACAATCTGATTCTAGATATGTTGGAAAATACTAAACATAAGCTGTGATGTTTGAGCAATCCTATCTGTTTTTTTCTGTAGGGCACTGTGGACCATTATATAATAGGAGTAATGATTCTCTCAGAACTGACTCAGGAAATGAATCTAGTAAGCATGTTTGTTTTTTTTTTTCCTTCTGCAAAGGATGTATGTATTGCTGCTAAAGCAGTGTGTTGAATGTTTCTGCCCTTCATAAAAATGATTGGAGAAACATTTCTTAGACGTGAAGGGATTAACACGCCTTCCTCCCCCTGGCAAAATATAGAGACAGACAAGAAACTCCTAGTGCAGGGACTCTATCTGTACTAGATCTATCTACTGTCACTAGAACTAGTAAAGCAAAGTGATTTGAAAATTTTCTGTTGTATTTCTGCTCATGATTTATTTTTGCCTACAACTTAATCTGAGAAAGTGCCTCAGACCTTTCCATCCTGAAAGAGAGACAACCTTGAAGGGAGAAAAAGGAGGCGCTTGAGGAAGCTGTCAGGATCTATATTTAGTGTTGGACCAAAATTTTTATTTCTAGTGTCAATTAATCTGCCAGATATACCTAGCATCTAGTTCCAGCAAAGAAGGGAGCATTGTTTATTATGTCCTAACTTTTCTTAGGTTGATTATTCAAGACCTTCAGCAAAACATCGTAAAATAGCTACCTCATTCCGTGACACCTCTCTAAAGGACATACTGATGCTTGCGTGCTCTCTTTTGAAGGAGGTGAGGCTCTTTATAATTGAATCTAAAGCGTTAACATCATAATTGTCCCAACTTGAAACCTTAATATTTTCTGAGTTGATGAATTCTATACTTAAATGGATTACATGACACCCAGTTAAGCTCAAGTGACCGAAAAAGGTTCAAAGACAAAAATTCTGATCTTCCTCCCTCTTGCTGTCTCTCAGTCTTTCTCTTTGTGCCATCTCTCTCTCTTTATATCGTGCCATAAAGAATGAACTACCTAAATTCTGAGCTTGTCTTCTTTTTTGATGTTTTTCTTAATTTAATTGTGTCTCAGTTTTGCTGGCCTACCATCTCAGTATTTGCTAAAATAATTATTTATTTAAGTAGGACCAACCAAGAAGACAGACAAATTTTCTGTCTTGTGGTTATGGCAGCGTAGTCAAATCTGGCCAAGGTGTTTTTCTCCTTTACTGGTTCCCTTGTCTTCTCTGTAACGTTTTGGGGTAATTCAGGCTGCAGCTTCTCAAGAACCTTGACAGGAGGTGGTGAAGAACAGCATGCTGTAAGCTAGGTCTCTCAGGACCAGGTAGGTTGAACTGAGATCAAAATTGGCATTTGCACTTTCCGTTCTGTGCTGATTAAGGCCTTCCATAGCAGTGGAAATGGCACCATGAGGTACCATTCTACTTCTCTTAAGCTCAAGCAACTCTTGGCTTTTGAGAGCAGCTTATTTTTTAAATGTTGCCCTATTGCTAGTCTTTGACTTATTTGGGAGTGCTGGTTTATTCAGTTTTGCTGAAAACCAAATGAATTAGGTGTTGAAATTTGGACATAGGCGTTTAAGCTAAGAATTTAAACACAGATGCCATCACGGTAGGTCAGTATGTAATGGTAGCAATTACTTTTTGGCTAAAGATATAATTCTCAGTGTTGAGGTATGTGATTGAGTTACTGCTGTAAACAATGAAAGAAACTTTTAGCTTAAATTTCTTTCACAGTTTGTTTTTAGTCTAACTAGCGTGTTTTACCTCACATTTGCAATAAGTTTAAAGGGCACATGTGGTCAGCTACCAGTGCTCAGGTGACGGGCAGTATATTTTTTTAATATATAGAGCAATTAAATGATGTGTAAACCCTCACCTCTAAAGAGTGAATGCTCTGCTGATGTACACAGCATGTTTTAAGCCAGTGTTGGAATTGCATATTAATGGAGAAATACATAATTTAAAAGAAGAGTTGGGTATTTTTGGAAGAATCTTCTTAGACATAGTAAACCCCATTACACATCAAAACAATGGATGTGTTTGTGAGAACCTGTGTCCTGCAGCAGCCACTTCCTAGCTTGCTTCAAGTTCAGCCAGCCTACAGGTACTTTTTTAGTCTCTTATATGTTGAAATATTTGTCTGAGTGACATCACAAAGATTTCCAGACAGAAATATAAGAAAATTATAATTAGTATCTTTATAATGCCAACTTTAGTACAGGAAGCTGGTTTTAGAAATAATCCAGTGTCTATAATATACTGAAAAATACACTCAACTAACAAATGAGGGATCCCCAAAATCCAAGAGTTTAAAAGTTACGGAGATGATTGGTGGCAGAACAGGTTATGTTTATAAAAGACACACAGAAATTCAATGTTGATGTCAAAGCTGAATTAATAATTTATTGTCAGTTTTAATGTGGTGCAACAGTTACTGTCAAGTTAATTGAGGCATCTAATGACACATAGTTGATTTTAATTCCTGTCATCTGAATTTAAAACCTTTTGTTAATAAACTTCAGAGATGTGGCTTTGAATCTAAATAAGGAGCAGATGAACTAGATAAAGTTGTTGCATTTGCACTTATTTTATTGTTTTTCTAGACAAATGATTTGAAGTTTGTTTTCAGTGCCTTTATATTCTGTGTGTAATTTTGAGGTAGTAATTTCTTTAAGATAAAATGTTATTTAAGTTCTTATAATTACAGAAAGGTCTTATGCGCAGTATGTTGAGTATAGACTTCCAAATCCCAACAGCTTGTTTTGCTTACAAAGTACCTTTTTATTCTGACACTACAGGGCTTATAAAGCAGTAGAGACACTGACAGCTGTATTTATACAGGTGTTGTAAATAACTACATTCAGATTACAGACTGTTCCTGTCATTGTTTTTTAATGACAGGTTTTTCTAGACTTACCAAAGGAACAGCCTTTGAGTATGCATACTGTGAAACTCATGCTGTTTAGCAGCCTGGACATCAAACTAAAAAATAACAAATGCCTGAGATATTTTTTAGCCATATAATGTATATGACACATACTCCATGCTAGTCTGGAGTAACTGAAAGAGAAAACCATGAAACCTTACAGTTTAATTTTTGCAGTGAACGTTAGCACTCTTCAACAGACAGTATCAGTGACATGCTGAGTTCTACCTATAAGTATTTTATGCAAAAGGTTTATTTCACCAGGCTTGTAAAATTATTTATAAGTTTGGGAGCTTTAGCTTGGCATGGAAGATGTCTCTGAGGTGGTAATGATTTTTCCCCTGGCCTTTAAGGAAAGACTATACCTTATATTGTCCAAGGATTTATTTTTCTCTTAGTATGTGTTCTCTTGCTCTGAACCTTGCAGTTTTATATCTAAACATTTTCCTTTTCAAAATTATTTTTAAGGTGTGTTCTGTGCAAGTGACCTAACAAGATTTCTTTTCTCCTTAGCTCTTGGCAAAACCTTTAACCCTTCAGGACCAACGGCAGCAAAGTCTAGCAATGCAACTTTTGAAGCTTGTACTAAACTGTCTTAATTTTGATTTCATTGGAAATTCAGCTGATGAATCTGCAGATGACCTGTGCACTGTGCAGATTCCAACAAATTGGAGAACAAGTAAGAAAGGATCATCACTGTTAGTAGTGTCTGTTAGACTTAGACACTGTTAGACTTCAGTCTATGCCCAGTAGATTGTGTAACTTCTTTTGTCACAATACTTTCAAATATAAAATAATTTTTAATGTGGAGTAGAGTTTTTTGATGGTGAGTCTTCTATTTCCCTCACCCTTTTCCTATTGCTGTTTTTACAGACAGAAATAATAAATGTAGTCTATAACATAGTTATTCACAGTAAATCAGATTCTTCTAATTAGACACTGAATACTGTTCTCATCCCTGGCACAGGAACACCTTGAAGAGGTACAGCATTTGTAGCATGTCTGTTTTTCTCTTATCTTCTTCCTGATGAAAAAACTGTGTGAAATTTTTCTTTAGTGTGCTTGTTTGCTCTAGTATATAAGCTTGTTAATGAAGGCAGCAGGAGGGTTGCTTCTTGGTTCTAAGACTCTAGAGGTTTGACTTCCTTATACAGTGCAGATGGCAGTCTAGTATAAATAAGTCCAAGCTAGCTTTAATGAAATTACCTTGGGTAATGGATGCAGTTTAGCACCAACAGCATGGAGCTCCTTGCAGGCTAATTTGTCCTGCTTCTTGGCAAAATAAATGAGCCTGATTGGAAGTCTGTTACTACGTCTAGCTAAAGCAGCTACACAGTTTCTCATACCCAAGATGGGAGGTTTAAATCTGACTTACCTGTATAGCATGACATTATTAACCTTTGTTATGTGACGCTTTATTTTACCCAAGTCTTCATATAAAATATTGCTTATAAATGCTTAACTCTGAAACAGTACTTAATTTGTGGGATTACTTAATTATTAGTAAACTTTTGCTACTCTTTTGTTACCCCTTTATAAAATAGGGGTGTTATACTTCATCAGATGTGATTCCACAGTGAATTGGTAACTCGGTGCTTAAAGTATTTTTTTCTGTTGATCAGTTTGTAGACTTCAGGATAGTCTGTGGAACTGCTCTTAAAAACTTGGATTTGTTTAAATACAGACTAAACTAATCCTCAGTATCTGGAACCTGTCTTGTCTCAGTATAGTAATACTGTAGTAACCTGAAGAAATCAGTATACATCTATCACAGAATGGTATTCTGTAAGCAACTCACAAAGTATTGCATCATCTGGAGTTTAAGGGAAGTATTCTTTATGAACTATGGAATAGATTAAATGTGATAAAAAGAGAACAGTGTTTGTTTAATATTGTACAATGAACTAACTAATGCATTTATTCATAGTTTATTCTCAATGACAGTGATCTCTCACTCCTATTGTTCGTGTTAAAAAGATGATGATTGTATTATAAGAAAGATATTCCACTATTGCTTGTAGAGAGTGATAAAACCAACTTATCTTTTTCCATAGTCTTCCTGGAGCCAGAGACCTTGGACCTGTTTTTTGATTTGTATCATTCCCTTCCACCAATGCTGTCTCAGTTAGTAAGTGACACGTAGTGATTTACACTCAAGTTAATTATGGAAAATAGTCTTTTACATCTATACTTTGTCCAAAAGACCCTGTTTTATTCTCTGCATTAGCATGTCCCCTGGCTCAGTGCCCAGTCATGATGTCTTTTCTTTGAACTTTAGACCCAGTTTTCATTTCTGAATCTGAAGCATTCAGATCCTTCCTCCTCCAGTTCATCATTACTCAGCCACATACAAAACATCCACCAAATTATTTTGATGAAGTAAGAAGCTGTTGTAAAAGGGAGTTTTAAAACGGAGCCATATTTGTGTTCAATGATCGTATAGACATTGCTGCAAAAATAAGTTTAATTTTTTTAACTTACAGTATTTTTTTAATTCTTCAGGCACTTTCTTGTTTAGTTCAGTTTGCTTCTACAAGGAGATCTTTATTCAGCAATCCAGAACGTGCCAAATATCTTGGTAATCTAATCAAAGGAGTGAAACAAATTCTTGAAAATCCACAGGTATCTCTTTTATTTTTCCTTTTATTATTTGAAATGCTGAAACAGCTGTGGATTTTTTTTCCAGTTACAGCCTTCATTAATTTACTGAATCTATCAAAACCACTTTCAGCCAGACATCTGTTTGCTTTGATTTTTCTATTCAAAACAATGCAAAACCCCTATGCAAATAAAATTGTCACACAATTAGCAATAGTGCTTATAAAATTTCTATTAGACTAAGCTGTTAACTTTCAAAAATTTGCTTCTTTGAATTTAGGGTTTAGCTGATCCGGGTAATTACCATGAATTCTGTCGGTTTTTGGCTCGGCTAAAGACAAACTATCAACTAGGAGAGCTAGTAATGGTGAAAGATTACCCAGAAGTCATCCAACTTATAGCAAATTTTACTATTACGAGCCTACAGGTAAGAACATATATGGAAGTGTTCTCTTATTGTCAATTCCTGAATGATGAAGAGGACCGATCCCGGTTCTCTGTGGTGGTGTTTTTTGAGGAGGTGGTGAGGTTTGTCTTTACGTAAAAATATATTTTGTCAGTGCTGTAACTCAGATTTCTAAATTCTCTAGAACTGGTTTCCACTATTCCTAAGAAGTTTTGTAATGGGAACAGATTTAAAGAAGAAAACTGAAGTAGGAGAGAGATGGATGTTAATCCTCCAGCATTAGTCCTCACCCTCAAAAGAATCCAACAAACTAAACTCTTTATCCAACCCTAAAATACTTACACCTATGCTCCCATGTAAACTTTGAAGTGCCTACCGTGATTAGGTTCTTGAGTTCTGCTTTTGTGCCTATACATATGGACACACACGCACATAGTTGCCTAGATGCTGGGCTGCCGAGTACAAAGTTCCCATCTGAGGTGGATTCAGAAGCTATATGGAATACTGTCTGAATTTTTGAGGGACCCACATCTGTATAAGAAGGACACATACCTCAGGATTAAGATTCTGACAGTGTTAAAAATGTTACAGATTTATCCTTGAAGCATACCAGGATAAAGGTGTGCACACTCTTTAAGTAATATTACAGTTGTTCTTTCAGCACTTCCTTCAGAGTCTTTCTCTGGTCTTCAGAGTCTTTCTCTGGTCTTCAGAGTAACAGCTGAAGATAGTGATCTTTAGGAGAAGATTTTGACCTTTGAATTCCCGAGTTGCTGAGGGCAGCTCCATAAGCTTGGAAGAGAAAAGGAAGTCGAGATGCATTTCTGTGGCGGGTGGCTCTAGGCAGTTTCCCACTCAACATTTATGTTTTTTGAATGGCTCTTTTATAGCACTCAAATCTCACCATGCACCGTGTAAGGATCTAGGCCTAGCTCTGAGTTTCAAATCATGAATTTCATTTGAAGGAGGTGAGAGTGCCTACAAGTAATTCTGGATCTACTCTATAATGTGTGCCATAGTATGTCTCAGTTCTGGGTCCTTCAGTAGTTATGTGAATGAATAATACTACTTAAGATAAAAGCATCATTTTTCACAACTAAAATTTTACACTGGGGTGCTTTAACAGAAGTATGTTTTGTTTTCTTACAGCACTGGGAGTTCGCTCCAAATAGTGTTCATTATTTGCTAACTCTGTGGCAAAGAATGGTAGCATCTGTACCTTTTGTGAAAACGGCAGAACCCCACCTCTTAGATACATATGCACCTGAGATAACAAAAGCTTATATCACTTCTAGACTGGAATGTGTTCCTGTAGTTATAAGGTAAACTTACTGTAATATGGAATGTTTAATTTTCTGATTTGTTGGCATATTATATTTTGGTTATGTTTAAATACACTGGTTCTGATTGCCATTGTGATTTCTTTAGATTATCTTAATTGGCTGATAGCATTTTAGTCCTTATGCATATTAAATCCAGGCCAAAATCAAATGTAAATTCTAATTGTTTTTCCTCTCATGGGCCTCTGTGTTTTGAAAAAAGCCTGTTTCCCTGAATTAACTATATTGTTCAGCTGTGACATGTTTTCTCGATGAGTCACCTTCTAGAGCCATGGAGGATAGAGTAATGGGGGAAAGTGGAATGAACCCCATGCACAAGAGAGGGTGAGACCGAATAGAACAAGCTAGGCAGTGGCAAGATTGAAATTGGCCAATTTAAAATTTCTCAATTCAAATCTTCTTTTTAATAGTCTAAGTAAATAGTCCACACTGTAATATAGTAAATAAGAAAAAAGTGGTTAGATTGCTGAAAGGATTTAATTTTCTCTGAGGGCATTTATGAATTGCTGCTGGTAGGATCTCCTGTCTGACTACGGGACTGCAGAACAAGTCACATCTGCTTTTGCTTTTTAATTTTACATTACTGAGATGATGTCATTTGTTCAGTCTGTGTGAGGAATTGCATTCAGCTTCACCATTGTTGTCCTTCTGTCTCAGTTTAGCCAAAATCTCATGTCTGCAAATTATGTAATCTGTCATCTTACTGTTTGGTGACTAAGCTATAGTTGGTGTTATTTGCCTTATGTTATCGACACAATTATGTTAGAGGCTGACTTCCTAATGATTCAGAATCATGACCTTCTCCATTATTGTCTCAGGAATGAGAATTAGTAGTACCTAGGGGAGCTTCCAGCATTCCAGTGCTAGGAGAGGGAAGGACAAGCAGGTGATTGCAGGTGCAGTCAGTTTTCCAGGGCCTTCTCTCAACCAGCCTACACTTCTTTTGGCATTTGAAGTTCTCTTATCTGTTTAGCTTTTCGGTAATGGAATCTCAGGGTAGAACCTTCATGTCTCAGCTTTATTCTCTACTGAGTGGTACATTCCATATCAGCCTGAAAGCACTCAGTAGGGCTGAGCTTCTGAGCCAAACCATCTGGGATGACCATTGAAATGTGCTGCTGTCGTCATCAGCACTGAAAATTGAGTTTGTTTGTTTGGCACTGATGAGCAGTTCTTCTGGATGTCTTTGTTACGTTGTGGAGGAGTAAGCTTTCTAATCTGTGGAAAAAAGCCACCAGGGAGAAGATGAGTAAAGTCTTCTCTTCTAGCAGTGTGTATCCTTCTTAAGACAGTCTTGCTCTTGGCGTGTATCTATTCCTAGCTCTAAGGGATTTGTATACCACTGTGGTATTGTCTTATTCTCTTACGTGATGACGATCCTTGGTTGCGGGATTTCTGTAGACAGCAATATCAAATGTAGACTTTAATGTCAAACGTCCAGACCATTCTTGAGAAACACGGGATGTCTGGGAGCTGATTTCATAAGATTACTTCTATTTGCTCCAAGGAGTTTAACTGATATCTTTGCAAACAAATCCTGTTTCCTGGAATGACCATTTTTCTTACAAACCCGTATAGTTGATAATACCACCCTCCATTCATGAGCCATCCAGCTGGTCCTTCAGAAAGAGGAAAAAGTAGCTTGGGACAATGGAAGGAAAGTCACTTTTGCTCTTTTGGGGGATTTGAATAGCTATTCCCCCTTTTGAGTAAGGGTGAGTGAGGGACTAATGATTCTTCTGCAAAGGGTCTACAGGAGGATGCTTTTCTACAAAACAGAAGGAGAATTTTATTTCAAATATTTGTAAATACCTGAGAAGAGGTCTGTTTCAGCCCATTGTGAACATCAGGATTTTGAGCAGCTGTATATCTTTCAAAGTTTGGATGTTAGCACTGTTAGCTTTGCTAGCTTTTTGGATGTTATCGTTACGGGTAGATTGTTTGTTGCCTGTGCAACAAAGGGTAACCTTCTGATGAATAAACCTCTCCTATTGTGTTTTGTGTGATGAGTGTATTTACACTGTATGGCAGGAGCTATTGGTCTCTTTGTTATAGGCATTCCATAGGGTCACAGCTTGTTTACAGCAGAATAAAATAAAGATTTTTAAAGCAGTTGCATGGAATTTTACTGGCTTTTTTTGTTGGCTCTGGTATCATGGTCTTGTCCTTAATTTGATGAATATGCAAAATCCATTTCTACTTAGTATTCCATTCTTTCATCATCCTCTGAGAAGGATGCTGCTTGTTAGTATTCTGTTCAGGCACAGTGGACCTTAGTTCTTCAGGATTTACCTTTCTGTGTTCGTATTGCCAACCTCATCCCCTCTCTTCTTTGCTTTTTAAAATACGCGTTAAGAGGAAGGTGCAAATAGAATACTGTTCTTTTTTGTGTGGATGTGTGTGTCGATGTAGGTAAATAAAATGAGATCTTGTATCTCTCCGTTGTATTCACCGGCTGCTAAGGCTTTTATAGTTTTATAGTGATCTTGACAGTTGTTCAAGATCTGGATGGGAAACCAGCATCAGCTTTTAAACAATAGTGGCTAAGTGGTTACTTTTTATCTCTATTCCAGAGATGGCTTAGAAGATCCACTGGATGATACAGCTACAGTTTTCCAACAGCTGGAGCAACTGTGCACAGTTAGCAGGTGTGAATACGAAAAGACGTGTACACTTCTTGTACAGTTGTTTGACCAAAATGCACAAAACTACCAAAAACTATTGCACTCTTCTAGTAGGAATCCATTAGAAATCACAGTTCAGGAAGGTTAGTATTTAATTTAATTTTCAGAATGTGTTTTATGTGCCATGAACCATATAATTGCATATGAAAAAGTGGTGGTGATCTGAAAGATACACCTAGACCTTTTATCAAACTAGGAATTAATGATCCAAGCCACCCTGCACCACATTTTCACTAGTTGTCTTTGTATTAAAGACGTTGGCAGTTGATGTGTTCGTTTTAACATCTTGTTACATCTTTAGAATATAGGCATGAGAGCTGTAAAAACTTTTAATTTCTGAAAAGCAACATTTTAGTGCCTCAGATACCCTCATGGGAACCAGCTGCAACTTGATGAACATTTTTTGAAAACAAAGGTGTTAACTTACGTTCTTTTTGCATTTGTCTGTAAAAGTTAATGTAATGTTAAAAACCTTACTTTATTTTATACAGCTCTGTTAAGATGAACTACCTAACTTTCAAGAAACTCAAATTGTTTGTTGTAGTGTAAGTTGTAAAAATAATAACTACTTGGGTTGGTTTGTTTTTCATATACCTGTTTTGGTCCTCTCTGTGTCTCACTTAAATTGTCTTTATAACTACTGGCTCTTTCCTAATATAGTTGTCTTATGGCTGTTGCATCTTTACATGGATAAATGGTGTTGTTTTGAAAAGGTGAGACAGGTTACTGCATAATACAGCTGTTTCTTTGCATGCTGTTAAATGGTTTTTTTTTATTTTGCTCTTCTTTTGCTGACAGTTTTAATGTGCTGATTTTCTTCTATGTAGGAGCCATTTTTTCACTAATTTATGGAGGTATTTATAAGACCTCCTACTTACCTTTTTTTATTAATTACACTTTCTTCCATGCACCTATCAACGTTTATTTGGGAGAACTTTCATTAATGATCTGATTTCATTGACCAGCTGCAGTCTGAATTTATATGCTCTTCCCCAGTCATGGGGGGCCAAAGGGAAACAAACAGCTGGAGTCTTTCAGTGTCAGTGCTCTGGGGATTGCACTTACGCATTAGAAAACATTTGATGCAGTTTAAATATTGCGATTCTTTTCTGCAAACTAAACATTTGTGCTTATATTGAACAATAACTGTTATATCCCCTAGATATGTGTAGTTAAATTTAGATGTTTAATGGCTTTTAATGGTACAAAATAAGTTAATGTAATATTAAGATCTCATTTTATTATACTGTCTTGCGCTCTGTATCAATAGTGATGCGGTCATGGTTTACTAAAACAATAATCCCCAAGAAATGGGTCATTAACAGTAGTTAATGATTACTTGTGATCTGTGGTAATGACTGATTTCTTTGGGATTATTGCTGTTATAAACCATAATTACAGATTATTACAGCAATAATTATTTTCTAAAAGAAAAGATGTTGTCTGCCTCAGTAATTGCAAAAGAAAATGCACTGAAAATTTTAAATAGTGAAGGTATAAAAGAGGGAAAGAAGTCATACCTATTAATTGGTATTGTGCTAAGAGAAGAGGGCTATCATTAGAGAAATAACGATGTACGTAAAAATGAGCTACTGCAATTTGTAAAAAGGAAGACAGGTTTTTATTTTAAACAAGATTATTGGCCAAAGTGGTGACTCTGCTCTTTGAACCAGCTAGCACCACTTGACAGTTGCTTTTTGATGCCATCTTCAGATGGCCACTCCTTAATAGCTGTTAATGCTAAATTCATTTGAGCAATGTCTGTTCTCCAGCACACTCCAGCTCCTTGGTGTTTTGCTAATGATGGCGCAGCCTCTTAGCGTCCTAAATTAACAGCTGTTTGCACTGCAATGTGTAATGTGTCTGATGGGGTTTTCCTTGGAAGTGTCCTGTTTATGAAGAAGCACGGGCCTTGAAACGGGGAAATGTGTTGGCTGTAGGACAGCTGATGCTGTCCTTCCAGATTATTAGGAATGGAATGGGAACAGTATGGGAAGTCTTCCTCATATATCTTGTCTTGTCTCAAAAGTCAACACTTGTTCCCTGTCACAAAATGTTTTCTGTTACAGATCTCAGACTGTATTACATATTCATGTGGTGTGTTTTTTTAAATGGGGGCTGAGATTTAAGATAAACCTTAATGCTTTCCGGTACTTCTGTTGAAATCACCTGCATGTTATTCCATGCTCTGTTTTATCTTTTCATGTATATTTAATCTCCGCATCTTTTTTATGTATAGAACACATTGTACTATATACCCATGACTGAAACAGAATTACTTAGGACGTATAGTCACCAGATTCAGGCCATAAGGACACTGGAACACCTCAGAACCAGTAATTGTTCCTGGTTGAAGGAGCTTAGGAAGTAGAGCATTCAGTGCTATCTCAGTTCTGGGTTTTTCAAAATACAACAATGTAGAACACGAGGGAAATTAAGGGAAGTTTAATGTTATGTAAATGAAGACTAGTTTATCAGAGATTTGAAAAAAAATGAAATAAACCTCAAGACTTTTGGTAGATACTGTGCTTGTCCTGATACATAGATAGAAATACCCAAAATAAAATACTGTTTTACAGTCATAACATGACCTCATTTTTTTACCTGTAGTTTATTCTTTATGTTAAACTTCAAAATGTGTTTGGAAGACACTTTATTCATCAGGGTATTGTCTTGACTCTTGTAAGTTACGTTGCCATCACTTAGTGAAATCCTAGTAATGAAGGCAAGACATCTTTGGGTTTATGTAAATATCTCACTTATTGAGAAGCCTTGTTTGTAACTTGATTTAACTTACACGGAAACTCTTCCAAGTAGTCTTCGCTGTGTTGTTATTTTCAAGCAATTCATTTCAATTTATTACAAAGTATATTTTGCCAAATGAAGATGGAGTCTAAAAGTAGCTTTACTGTTCTATAGTCTCAGTGCATTTCAGTTGCGGAAGAAACCTTTAGTGGTATCCTGAAGTTTTAACAGGTCTGTATATTAATTTGCTATTCAGGTCTTAGTTTTGGTCGTACTTTAAGGGAAAATACTGCATCTTTCCTGAGATGGGATACCATTAGTTACTGGGTTTACAGCTTAAAAAGCTGAAGTAGGAATCCACATGGCTTGAGTAGGTATCAGTGGGTCAAATTTAAAGATATTTCACCTTTATGTACCTGAGAGATTAAAATGATCTAGGTTTTGCAACATGGCCATGATTTTCCAGCAAAAAGAGGCCAAAAGAATTCCCCTGAGTTCAGTGTGTGTAAACTTGAGTTCCATATTTATGAAGCGGGATTTCAGTATTTGAAAGTCTGTACAAGATACACTACATACACAAGCTCAGGGACTTATTTCTGGAACCTTAGCTTTACAGAAATTATGATCCTTATGCTGTACTTTACTTAGTAAGGACTTTGCCAGTGGATCCTGTAAGTGCTTTAGTGGAAACTGATGGCTAAATAACCTGGAAGATTGGAAGGCATGGCTTGAAATGGATGAGCTCTGTCTTTCAAACGCTTTTATGAAACAGTCCACAGAGACTTTTAAAACTATGTTGCAGTTCACAAACTTTTCTTCAAGAATATGTCTGACTTATGACATAAATATTTTCTTATGTGCAAATCACTTTAGATAGTAATTTAATATTACAAAGATTCATTATTTGAAACAGAATTTAGAAACAAGTTGATTGTAGTAAGTCTCAATTACTTCCTAACGCTATGATAAATAGATGTAACAGCCCCACTGTAGACGAAATTTTTCCATGCCTCCAAGTAACTTGTGGCAGGCAAGTGAGGATCCTAGATTAATTGTATATCTAATCTTACCAGACTCAGTTTGCTTAATTTGTGTTTTAGGTTAATTCTTTTGTCTCTTATTTATAAGCATGTCCAGGTTAATAGGCGGTTCCAGTTTATCTGTCAGTTCTGCTCAGAATTTTCCCTTAGTTGATTTGTCTGGGTAGATTTTAAATCTGGTAAAGTGAGAAACCTAACCATTCTCTTGACAGCGTTCTGCAGTCTGATACCTTATAGAACTGCTGCTACCTTATGGAAAGGTATTGTACTAGCATAATGGTTTATAATCATTAACTGTCTTTTTAATGTTAGGATGTCTGGCATGGCTTGTCTATTTTGTGGGTACTTTTGTGGGAGGACGATTGACATACACTAGTACTGATGAACATGATGCCATGGATGGAGAATTATCCTGTCGGTAAGTATTGCTTATTTTGAATTCTTCATTTTGCTTTTCTTTTTTTAATGATGTTTAGTATCAGCAGAGATTTTGAATTTAAATGTCTCAAATTTTATCCCGTTCTTGAATGGTGGGTGCTCAAGGAGTGTACTGACTTTCTGAGGATTGAGACCATGGCACTGGCTTTGATCTTTCCTGATTCGTCATCCTGAGCAGTGAAGGAGTCATTAACGCTGTTATTTCAAAACTGCATTTCAGAGGAAGGGAAGAGGATTAAAGGCAAATATGTCTCTTTAATATAAGCAATGATTAGATATGCCCATGTAGCTACCTGTTTTCATTTGTGTGTTATACTTGTATACAAGTGTTAATTTTATTAGTTGTGAGTTATGGCTATTATTTTCTGCACTACTTCCTTTACATTAACTATTGTGGGTGAAGAAGTGCAGAGGAACTGCTGGTCAACCATTGAAAATTTAGACTTATTTTTAGACTAGAGGCTTGTAATAAAAAAGGTGGCATTAGATCTTAAAATGTGCATGCTGAAGTCATCTTTCTGCAAGTTTTAGGACAAGGAGTGAGCCAGGGATTATTGTGAATGACGTGTTCCTTGTGGCAAACACAAAGTATGTGGCAAACACTTCCTTACTTCCTTAATTCTTGTCTTCACCCCCAAGTGTGTTAAAAAAGGCATGCATATTTGATCCTGTTATTTACATCCACTAGCTAACACATGAAAAAGGGCGTACAACTTAGAATTGGATAAAAAGCTTTACATTTTCTCCTTTGTTTCTTGACTTCCTAATCTACCCTGGCGCTCTGTGGTGTTGGCAGTCCTTCACTATGTTTTTATTAAAAGTAAGAGATTTTAATATACAGGCTTACAGATGAAGTAGCTACTGACTTCTAATCCAATGACTAGATATTTCAGAATTGGCAAAAGGTGAGAATAATTTTTTTAATTGCTAGGGAATTAGGATTTCAAGGAATAGATAGCAGAAGACCATGGGAAATTAAATAAAGGAATGTTCCTTTAAAAAGGAAAAAAGTATTGAATTTTCTTCGCTGACATAGGCTGAAATTGATTCTTTTGAAATCAGTCCTGGTAATACAGAGTTAGACACCAAGTAAGGCCTTAGGTCAGAAAATATATGTATGTTCAGATGTTTTAGGAGGGAAGCAGCGAGACAGATTGTGCATTCTATACTGCATATGTAAACTTACTTCGGAGTACAGTAGTTTCCATTTCCAGGGAACTTGAACAGCTCTTATCTTGCACTTGCAGTTTGAGACCTATGCTTCTCAAATTTGTTTCTTTCATCATGGAATTGATGCTCTAAGAAAGAAAAAAACATTTTAGAAACTCACCATGGTATAACATAAGTATCTGAGAAAATTTCAAGTGACAAATAGAAAAGCATTATGTTGATGTTTATTAATGGTCAATTAGTGTAATTAGCATCTAAACAAAACAAAATCCTAGAAGAAACGTAGGCAAACAAAATATGGCTGATGGGTTTCTAGAGAAATTAGCTGTGACAATACCATTTAATTTGAGAATTCTTCCTGAAAATTTTTTTTCTGTCATTAAGAGTTTTTCAGCTGATATCTTTGATGGATGCCCAGTTACCACAGTCTAGTAATGAAAAAGTAGAACTGGCAATTCTGTGGTTCTTGGATCAGTTCCGTAAAACATATGTGGGAGACCAACTTCAGCACACCTCAAAGGTAAATATTTGCTGTAAACCAGAGCACTTGAAATAAAAAAGCCTGTGCAAAATTGACCTGCAAATTTATCTTACACGTAAAAGCTGTTGAGCTTAGCTGGTGGCTGATTTGCTAGACAGAGAGAGAGATGGATAGATAGATAACTTGTTAATGTGTTGTTCATCTGAGCGGGCTTCCTACCATGTATGCTTTTGAGTTTTGGCATGCAAGGAGTTAATATTTTAACAGCTATGTTCGTTAAACAATTTTAGGTTACTTTGCATTTCAATTTTTTATTTCAAACATTTAGCTGGGTTCTGCTATATTGTGTTATATTTCACAGCTGGGTACACAAGATTTATTCTTTTAATAGTTCTGTTCTTTTGACAGTTACTCATTTATGTGGTTTCCACTGTATTTCTCACATTACTTGGCTTTTCTGCATTTTAAATAGGGAAGAGGGAAAAGTAAGATGCATTTTTGAAGAAGCAGCAGTTAATTCACCTTAACTGTAGGGGACAGTCATAATATAGATGTTATAAAGAGAATGTCAGTAAGATGAGATCAATTGATCTTGAGAAAGACTGAAGGAATTCTGTTGGAGCCCCAAGCAAATCTTTAGCAAGAATTGTGACAGTGACTGAGATTTGGTTTTACTTGTGTACTACTCTATCCTTGCTTTCTGGTGAACGGTCCCAATCTCAAGAATTCTTTTATCCCTTCAGGTTTGAACTGTACTTCAACTTTATTGAATGGTTCCTCACTTAATATTAAAAATAAAGTTTTACACTATCCTGAATTACTTTTTCATAAAAGCAATGTGTTCCTTCCAATTGTCAAAGTTGATTTGTTATTTTTAGATATGGTGCACTGCTCTAATGCTAAGTAACAGAAGGTACACAGTAAAAATGTACTCATGCTCCTGGTATTTTCATTAGCAAAACTGCTGATGGCAATTCAAAGGCAGTGTGGCTGTACAGTAGTTGTAATTCCTGGATTATTTTTTCTTTCTATCCAATTTTGAAGGTTTTGGTTTCACCTTATGCTCTGAGGTGTAACTGTGTGGAGAAGCCCTATCAGTGTATAGTATGCTATGCTATAACAGTATACCCAAGGTGGAAGAAACATTTGTATGTGGGTGAAGCGGCAGGCAAAAAAACTGAAGTGCGTTATTTATACTTAATCACCTGGAGCTCTGTTGTCAGTAGAAAAAAATTGTAAAACTTGAACGTTTGCCAGCTACACCAGAATTCAATACATATGCATTTAACCAGCTCAGAAATGTGCTTTGAATAACCATAAGGCTGCCTCTGCAATTGCATTGTGTGCGGAAGGTTAAATGGTTAATTATTGAGTAAAATGCTGGGTAATGTTTCTATTTGATTTATTGAAGAGCACTTTGAACAGAAAAAAAAAAACCTTTTAGTGAAAGGATGTGGGGGAAAACTGTAGGATGAATTTGAGAAAACGGTTTTCTGTTGTTTTATTTTATTCTTTTGGTTTTTCCCCCTGCCCCAGTAAGTGGACATGAATCAAACTGGTAATATATCATATTCCGTATACTGCCTTTGCTTATGACATGTGTCTTGTATGTAACCAGTCTGGGAAAGTAGAAATTTTGCAAGGCTTTCATGGTGCATAACAGTTCAAGGGGTGTTTCTAAATTCCAGCTCCAGTCTAGCAACTCCGTAGTTCATTGCAAATGCATTTTTCAAAGTGTGCTTTTTTTTTTAATGGTTTGATTACACTATCTACCAGTATAATTTAGTTTGCAGTCAAATTACACTTTCTTTTTTGTTTTGTTCTAGTAGGCCTGATACAACAACCTATCATTTGCATTGGTGGAATACCGTGGTCCATATCACATTATTTTACCAGATTTTATTACAAAAGATGTGTGTAAAGGCATCTGAGCTCCCAGTTTTTGTGTTTTTTTTAAATTTTTAATAAAAGAAAATGAGATGTTTGTGTACGTTTTACAATTATGAGAAGGGCAGAAGGCAGCACTTGTATGATTCTTCTGTTTTATCCTGCTGTAGCAGCAAGTATAGCAGCAGATGGCATTCTACCCTCACAGTTGTAAATCCTCTGGTACTGTGTCTTGCTGGCAGCTATCTACAAATATGCAATAAAAAGGCTCACACTTGGAAGCAGAGAAATCAGATATATATCAAATGACTATGTTAATACACATTTATATAAATATTCAGGATTGCTTGAATTGTTTTATTTACAGAATGGATAATTGAAATTATGCACGCTTCAGCCATGTTGAAATAATTTTGGAGAATATTTCTCTTTGATCATATGCTTGCATACAGAAAAACAGATAATTGTTAGAGAAGACTGGATAGTCTAATGAAACTGTAGAACAAGTCTATACAAATATAGAAATTTTGTTCATTAATTAACTGATATTCTTAAGTATGTGCATATAATAAAAGCAAACTCATTATAGAAAAAGAAACTTGGCTAGGTAAATTAATGCATTCTTATTCAACAGTCCACTGGGGCTTGCTGTCTAAGGAGGAATAGCAAAACCTTGTCAATCTCCTCCACGATACTGTAATATACGTTTAGTACCATCATATTTCCAGTATAGAAATAATACATCAAGATATTGTCTTTTGGATCAGATAGACCTTTGAGTGAATATATATATAATATTTCTGTTGGGTACTAGACTGGATTCTCTGGTTCTGTATAGCACTATTAGTATCTATTTGTCTATCAAAACATATTTTGTTCTAAATGCTGGTATGACTTAGCCTTCATAGAGTCATCTTTTTGTGGCATATTGCTGATTTGGATGCTGGAAGGGTAGTAGGAAATAAGTTGCCTGAAAAGCACTGCACTGTGCTTTACTGAAATTGTAGTCTCAGCTTCTGTCTGTGGTAGCTTTAGCGTTACTGTAGTGGGCCACTGTTAGTCACTACTGTAAGTAGTGTAATTCCTGATTCCTGACATCAAACACATGCTATTTATTAGAGAAAACATTGCTGTTTTGAATGAGACTTTTCCTTTGTAATATTCTTAACATATCAACAATTATACAATTATTTATTTATAATTGCAAGTGACGATAGGCCGGGAGGAAATGTGATTGCAAAGGACAGTACTTGAATTCAGAGCGATCTTCATGATCGGGAGAAATAACCTGAAAGTTTAAAAAGTTGGTGAAACACCATGCTTAGGGAGTGAAAAGTCCCACTTACAACTACCACTGGGAAATCTCTGACCAGGCGACATTATTTCAGAAAATGCTGTAGAGATGAGTGTGTTGCAAGCAGGAGTATGTGTTGGTTTTGCACACACAAAAAATACCACATCTTAGTGGATGTAGTAGTAGAAGTACTGTGTCAGGTGCTGGAATTTCTGTTCAATTCTGAATATTTGGTTCTGACTGGACTGGAGCTGGAATAATGTTTCCAATTTTGGGCACCACACTTTTGAGAAAACTGTAGACAAATGGGAGAGTTTGACAATGCGAATAAGATGCACAAGATACTGCTGTGGTGTACTTTAGCAAATAGAATATTGGGGTGGACAAAAATCAAGGATGTCAGGAGTTGTTTTAGAACAGCTAGTGATCGGATGTTTTCAGTGCCCTTCAAGGGAAAGACAGGATGTAATTAGTTTGTAGCAAGGAAGACTTAGGGAAAGCTTTTTAACTATGCCAGTAATGGAGTACTGGTGCGTACAACCCCAGACGCTATGGGGGCTTTTGATTTATGTTTAGGTATACTTAATTCTTTCTTCCATAAAGTACGGAATAAGCCAGAAGTCCTGCTGGTCTGATCTCATGCTTCCTAATAAGACTATTATAAATGGTCATGGTTGTTTGCTATGGCTTAGCTAGTGAAAAGCATACTTACAGGGGAAATGAGCCTTCCTATTTGTATTGTGTTATGTCGATGAACCACCGATAAGGAATTTTTCTGTTATTTCAGGAATTTGTTTTAGACTGGCATGTTTCAAGTAGCTCATTACAGCCATTTTAAAAGGAAAAAGAGTGTAAGTACTAAGAGTGACAGGAATTGCAGTGTCTTTGAACATGCAGAGTTGACAGACTCTTTTTCCAGCTCAAAACATGACTTTGCTCTTCATTTATCCGTGCTAAGGAAGATCTCTTCTTAGTTATCCAGCCACAGATGGGATTTGCACTGGATAGCCTGCAGTTAAGAGAGACTGTCTGGTGACATCTCTGCTAAGTTGTGTAACTTCCCATGGCAAGTGCAAAAAAAATAAGTTGGGGGTGCTAAGAATGTATTTTAGCTGCTTTTTTTTATTGTGGGTTAGAGCAGAGTTGTCACTTAATGAGCAGGTGCTTCATGAGTTACAATGTGAATTCTTACCTTGCTGTGGCAGATAGACCAAATCTTGAGGTCTGCAGCTTGTGCTTGAGTGCTGCTTGTGTTGCTGAAGAGCGTGTTTGTTAACACAGATAATACAGTTCAACAGTTTTGCACTTGGGACACTAATTTAGGCCAAACAAGGATAAAAAGGCAAGACTTGCTAGCCAGGACCTTTTCCTGCTTCCAGACACATCAGAGATTTGTCCTTGGAGGGGGAAGAAAACACAACAGGAGGAGTTTGTAGCCATCCCTAAAGGGGTTTGAGCTGCATCTATTCCAAACTCCCCCCTGGGGATAGGCCACAGCAGCAGTTGATGGCATTGGGTGGGCATATTTGGCTCTCTGGCCCTCTCTGATTGGTACTGAGAGATTGCCAAGAGTAAATCAAACTGTAACTTGTTGGATAAATTTTACTGTTTAATATATCATAGGAAATTCAACCTAGTTAAGCTAATTACTAAAATTTCTTACGTTAACTTAGAATTGTATCTTTAACTTGAAACAAGTTTCACACTAAGGCATCTTCACAATTTGGAGTCCTGACACTTTCAGCTGTGTTCAGTTCAGTTTTTCATATCTGCACAGTTTATAATGATGTTATAAAAAACATGGCATTAGATGAAGACTTTTCTCTTGAGGTACCATTAAGAGTTATTCTAATAGTGT